GACCTGAGGTGGAATCCTCACTCTGTCACTTACTGTGTGACCTCAGGCAAGTCATTTGATCTCTCTGCCTGTCCCATCATCTGTGAAATAGCTATGAACACCTAGCGCCTAAGGCTATTGTGAAGCTGAACCAGGATAATATATATAAATACAGTGCTCGCATGGGGTTCTTTCACACAATTGGTAGGAAGTGGATGGCATGGTCTTCCCCCGAGGAGCCCTCTCCTGCCCCAGCCCGAGGGGGTGGCCTGGGGGCAGACCCCAGCTCTGGTTCTGTGCCTCTCCTGTAGGATCTGAGTTTTATCGAGGGAGCTGAGTGATTGAGACCTTCTTCCTGTGGATTATTCTGCCTTCAGCTTTGAGATGACTGAGGCTCCCAAAGCCTCTGAGAGATGGTTCTGCCCACAGTCTTGACTTGTCTTGGAAGTCACTTGGGCCTAGGTAACAAGAAAAATGACACTTAACAGAACTGTTTTCTTCTTCAGATGCTGCAGGGGGATTTTTGGTTGGTTGGTTATGGTTTTAAAAAAAAAAATACGCTTTTTGTAACTGTATGCTAGAACATTAATAACAAGACATTGCAGTTTATCATTTTTAATCATGGGAGTATATGTTGACAGTATTTAAGTGTAATGTAAAGTATATTGGCATAAACAACTGTTAGGTCCTTTCCATAACAACGAATATAAAAACGAAATTTAATAATATGCACGCAACTGTGTTGAGAAAAATGGGGAAAAGGAAATACGTTTAGGTGTCCACAGTGGTTATTTCTGAATAGTGGAAGTCTTGAGTAATTTTTTTCCCCAGCGGCAGCAAGGTACAGACGGCAGTGAGAGGATGGCCTCGGCGATCAGAAAGCCTTGTTTTGGCCTCCTGGGTGACTCAGTTGGTTAAGTGTCCGACTCTTAATTTCAGCTCAGGTCCTGATCTCACGGTTGTGGGATAGAGCCCCACGTAAGGCTCCATGGAGCCTGTGTGGGATTCTCTCTCTCTCTCTCTCTCTCTCTCTACCCCTCTCCCTTCCCCCTCCCTATTTGTGTGCACACACACGTGTGCTCTCTCTCTCCAAAAAATTTAAAAAATAAATTAAAAAAAAAAACGAAAGTTTTGTGTTAAATCGGTATTTGTGTGGCCTCAGGCAGACGATAGGCTCTCTGGGTCTTTTCCCCCTCTGCTGGGTTTTGAGGATCAGATGAACAGTGGGACTAAAGGGCCTGCCCTGTGATCTGGCACAAACTGGCTCCATAAATGAGAGCAGTTTTTATTATCACACATCAACATTCTTTACAGATTTTTTAAAATTCCAAACATGTACTCCTTTATAATCAAAGGGTACAGTTACTGAAAACAACAATAGCAGGCACTGTATGTTCTGCTGACAAAAATAGTTTACATCCCCAGGTTGGGCGTGTGCGGTTTCCAGACTCTTCCCTGATGGTGGGAAACGGCCCTGGTGCTCAGGAGCCACTGCTGGGGAGGGTTGGGAGATTGCTGACGGGTGAGGGGTGGGCTTGAGGGCTGGCCGCAGCCTGGCTTTGGAGGTGCTCAGCCTGTGCCTTCTGTCCTGCCCAGGGCGCAACGAGCCCCTGAAGAAAGAGCGGCTGAAGTGGAAGAGTGACTACCCCATGACCGACGGGCAGCTGCGGAGCAAACGGGACGAGTTCTGGGACACAGCACCTGCCTTCGAGGGCCGCAAGGAGATCTGGGATGCCCTCAAGGCCGCCGCCTATGCAGCCGAGGCCAATGACCATGAGCTGGCTCAGGCCATCCTGGACGGAGCCAGCATCACCCTGCCTCATGGTGAGCGAGCAGGGCCGGGCTTTATCCCCGCTGGAGTGGGGGCCACCAGGCAGCTCAGGGTGGAGGAGAGCCGGTGGCCAGCCACACATCGGGAGTTTTTCTCCGAGCTTCTAGGTGGCCAGGGTGGCTATTTGCTTGTCCATTCAGGCAACCCTTACTGAGCATGGGTCCCTGTTTGTCTAATGAAGAGGTAGAAAGGCACCAACAAACCTCAAAGCAGTGTGATGGGAGCAAGATACAGTTGCTCAGGTACTTCGGGATCTCAGAACATCTGAGGTACTAACCTTCTGTGTTGGGCATTATTATGTGCTCGGTACTGAGCGAGAAGCTTCTACTGTATTATCTCATTTAAGTTCCTAACAGTCTTATGGAGCCATGTAAAGTAGAGGGTACCAGTGGAACGCTAGAGTCACAGACGTGGGTTTTAACAAATGTCTTTGTTTCTAGTAGTGTGCTCCTGAGAAGGGAGCTTCTCAAATTTAAAGTCTCAGGAACTTATAACTATGAAGGGGGATACCCACCTAATAGGATGGTTGTTAGGACTCAGAAAGATACACGGAACATCCTTTAGTCCAGTCCCAGCACTCATTAGGTGCTCGAGGCACGATAAATATATTACTACGTGCAATACATAGTCCAGGAAGGAAACTGGGGCCCACCAAGGTATAAGCCATGAAGAGCAGACCTGTGCTTTTTCATTCCCCCTTGTAACCCCGGCACCCAGCACATACACGCAGGGGAGAGTTGTTGAATGAGAACATGGAAAGTGATGCAGCTTGCCAGAATTGAACAAGCTAGTACCTGGTAGAGCCCGAAGGCCAGCCCACGTCTTCCCGAGTGTACCTTGAACTCCTCCCATCTGTATGTCCAAGGGACACTTGGCTGTAGGGGAGGGTTCGGGGACTGTGGGGTGGCCATGACAGGTGTACTGGTTTGCTCGGGCTGCTACAACAGAATACCACAGATTGGATAGCTTATTAAACAACAGAAATTCATGTCTCACCGTTCTGGAGGCCGGGAAGGCCAAGATCTAGGTGCCAGCTGATGTGAGTTTTGGTGAGGGCCTTCTTCTTGGCTTGTAGATGGCCATCTGCTTGCTATGTCCTCACGTGGTGGGGAGAGAGCATGCCTGAGTGTCTCTTATAAAGCTACTAATCCTTTTGGATCAGTGCACCACTGTATGACTTCATTCAACCTTAATTACTCCCAGATAGGCTCCCATCCTCAAATACAGTAGCATTGGGGGTTAGGGCTTCGACATAGGAATTTTGGGGTTCCCCGGCAGACTCTGATTGCCCTGCTTTTCCCACAGGCACCCTCTGTGAATGCTACGACGAGCTGGGCAATCGCTACCAGCTGCCCATCTACTGCCTGTCGCCACCTGTGAACCTGCTGCTGGAGCACACTGAGGAGGAGAGCCTGGAGCCCCCCGAGCCCACGCCCAGCGTGCGCCGCGAGTTCCCATTAAAGGTGCGCCTCTCCACAGGCAAGGACGTGAGGCTCAGCGCCAGCCTGCCCGACACGGTGGGGCAGCTCAAGAGGCAACTGCACACCCAGGAGGGCATCGAGCCATCCTGGCAGCGGTGGTTCTTCTCTGGGAAGCTGCTCACAGACCGCACGCGACTCCAGGAAACCAAGATCCAGAAAGATTTTGTCATCCAGGTCATCATCAACCAGCCCCCACCACCCCAGGACTGATGAGCCCACAGACCCTGGGAGGAGAGGCCGAGGAGGCCTCCGCGGGGCTGAGAGGCCTCCCGGCTGGGCACCAGGTCCCCCCACCCTGCTGCTGCCTCCAAGTGCTGTTACTTTCCTCAAGGGCGCCTCCCGCCGGATGGCTGCTGGGCAAGCCGTGAAGGGACCCTGCCTCCCAGGGGCACCGTGGGCCACCAGCGCCCCACACCCAGGAAGCAGTGCTGCCTCACACAGGCTTTGCCAACCTTGTCAGAGGAAGGGCAAACTGGGGTGTTCCACCCTGCCTCTCTCCCGCAGCAGGTTCGAGCCACAAGGGCCAGCCCGGAGGCGCCTGGAGCCCAGATCTGTCGTCTGGTGCTGCCGGCTGTGCTCACTCCGGTTTTCTGCTCAGGGTCTGAAGCAGCTGCTGTCCCCTTCCCCTGCCCCCACTCCCTGACTCTGCCCTGGGCCCGGTGCCAATCCCCTGGAGGGGAGGGGATGGCTTGTGAGCCCCAGGGGCAGGGAGCCCGAGGCCGGCCTCTGCCTCTCCCTGCCCCCCGGCACAATTGGCAGAGATGGGGCAGGCTGGTGGCCGGAAGGCTGTGCTGTCGTGGCGGGGGTCTGCACAGGGCCATCTCCTGGCTGTAACCCAAGCGGTGGGGGGTCTGCAGCCTGGTCATGGCCCATAACAGGTCCCTGTGTACAGACATATCTGCATATTTATCAATAAAGCCTTTTGCTCCTTCCTTCTCTCTTGCCTAGCTTTGACTCCGGTTCTCTGGCAGCTCCGTGGAGCCCCGGAGCCAGTTCTGGTGTGGGAGCAGGTGGGTGTAAGGCCTCCCCGGCTGCTCTGTCCACAGCAGAGACTGCAGGAGCCTCGAATCACTAGTGTTCCAGGCCCTGTGTTCTCACGGGTCCTTGGGAAAAACCACTTCACTGCCGAGCCCACTCTGCTTATCTTTAAAGTAGAGACGATGCCGCCTGCCTCGCCTCTTCTTCAGTTGCTGGGAGGATTAAATGGGATAATGGATGTGAAAGTGCTTTGGAAGCAGAGGCAGCATCTCAGGAAGGTGGCGTTAGTAATCCGCGGGTCTGCTCCCGTGGCACACGGGAGGGTGCCGGCTGCCCGCCCCAGCCCCTCGGCCAGCCCCCCAGGACTGAGGTGTGTGCGAAAATCCTAGGGCTGCTGCACTGCGCCCTCGGCAATGGAAAAGAAAAATCTGTGACCAATTTAGGTTATGAGCATTTGTCAGCTTGCCAGCAAGGGAACCAGAGAGGAAAAGCAGCCAGTGCCTGCCCTTCCTTCAGGAAAAGTGTGCGTCTAGTCGGAGGGGGACCTTTGATCAGGTGGCTTAGCTAAGGGCAGGCCGCTTGAGTGTTACAGAACCTGTGGCGTCTGTGGCTCACTGGCAGGTTAATCCTGGGTCAGAACGACCCGGGGCTCACTCCCACAGTTCTAGGTATGGAGCTGAGCAAGTTCAGGTCTGCTTTTTCTCCACTGACAGTTTTCCTTCTCAGCGAGCATGGCTGGACCTCGGTCAGGGTGGCCTGACGAAACTGGGAGGAAATGGTGTCCTCGTCAACTGGGCTTGGCACTGTACTCTGGCCCTTTTCGGGTGGCTTCCTGAAACCCCTCTTGAAGCAAGACTTTTTCAGTTTTGCAGAGGCCTCCTGAGACAGACAGATGGGTCAAAGTTTGTCCGAAGCTAATGGACATGCAGCCACGTACAGTGATGTCTCGCTAGGGGGCGCTGTGGGGCCCCAAAGAGGCAAAGGCCTGCTTGAGCCGCAGGCGAAGGGAGAGGCATCTGCTCTCACTCCTGCCCATCGCCTTGACACTCCAGCCCAGACATAACAGAGTTTGCCTCACCCCAGGGCAAGCAGGGCCTGTTCATGACAGCTGGGGACACAGGCCTGTATTGGGTCCACACCGTTGGCTTTCAGTTGCCCTCACTGGTACTGGCTGGGCAGTTTCCAGGCATCCAGCAGGTGGCACTGCCATCAAGGTTAGGGGCAAGCCAGCGGGTTCTTTGTGCCTCCCAGCTGTCCTGGCTAAGGCTCAGCTCTACCCAAGCACTTAGGACAGAGGCTGGGCAGGCTCCTTCCTGCAGCCCCGCTCTTGGGGTGCTGGGTCCTTCAGCTCTAATAGGCAAGGGGGTGGGGGGGGGTGGGCAAACTGTCCCTGCCTCCCCCAG